GGCCCCACAGACTCCAGATCCTCCAGATCCTGCAGAGCAGGGACCCAGAACCTGCAGAGACCCCAGATCCTTGCAGCAAGTGACACTGTGGACCCCCAAGGGCCCCAGAGACTGACCTAAGGAATGCAGAAAGATAGCAGGGACCCAGAACCTGCAGAGACTCCGGATCCTCAGAGCCAAGATGCCAAACGTCACCAAAGGAATGCATAAAGATAGGAAGAAAGAGTGCAGCAAGTGACACTGGGCCCCAGAGACTCCAGATCCTCCAGATCCTGCAGAGCAGGGACCCAGACAGAGACTCCAGATCCTCAGAGCCAAGATGCCAAACGTCCCCTAAGGAATGCATAAAGATAGCAGGGACCCAGAACCTGCAGAGACTCCAGATCCTCAGAGCCAAGATGCCAAACGTCACCTAAGGAATGCATAAAGATAGGAAGAAAGAGTGCAGCAAGTGACACTGGGCCCCAGAGACTCCAGATCCTCCAGATCCTGCAGAGCAGGGACCCAGAACCTGCAGAGACCCCAGATCCTTGCAGCAAGTGACACTGTGGACCCCTAAGGGCCCCAGAGACTGCCCTAAGGAATGCAGAAAGATAGCAGGGACCCAGAACCTGCAGAGACTCCAGATCTTCAGAGCCAAGATGCCAAACGTCACCTAAGGAAAGCAGAAAGATAGGAAGAAAGAGTGCAGCGAGTGAGACTGTGGGCTCCCAAGGGCCCCAGAGACTCCAGATCCTCCAGATCCTGCAGAGCAGGGACCCAGGCAGAGACTCCAGATCCTCAGAGCCAAGATGCCAAACGTCACCTAAGGAATGCATAAAGATAGCAGGGACCCAGAACCTGCAGAGACCCCAGATCCTCAGAGCCAAGATGCCAAACGTCACCTAAGGAATGCATAAAGATAGGAAGAAAGAGTGCAGCAAGTGACACTGGGCACCAGAGACTCCAGATCCTCCAGATCCTGCAGAGCAGGGACCCAGAACCTGCAGAGACCCCAGATCCTTGCAGCAAGTGACACTGTGGACCCCCAAGGGCCCCAGAGACTGCCCTGCAGAGACCCCAGATCCTTGCAGCAAGTGACACTGTGGACCCCCAAGGGCCCCAGAGACTGACCTAAGGAATGCAGAAAGATAGCAGGGACCCAGAACCTGCAGAAATTCCAGATCCTCAGAGCCAAGATGCCAAACGTCACCAAAGGAATGCATAAAGATAGGAAGAAAGAGTGCAGCAAGTGACACTGGGCCCCAGAGACTCCAGATCCTCCAGATCCTGCAGAGCAGGGACCCAGACAGAGACTCCAGATCCTCAGAGCCAAGATGCCAAACGTCACCTAAGGAATGCATAAAGATAGCAGGGACCCAGAACCTGCAGAGACTCCAGATCCTCAGAGCCAAGATGCCAAACGTCCCCAAAGGAATGCATAAAGATAGGAAGAAAGAGTGCAGCAAGTGACACTGGGCCCCAGAGACTCCAGATCCTCCAGATCCTGCAGAGCAGGGACCCAGATCCTTGCAGCAAGTGACACTGTGGACCCCCAAGGGCCCCAGAGACTGCCCTAAGGAATGCAGAAAGATAGCAGGGACCCAGAACCTGCAGAGACTCCAGATCTTCAGAGCCAAGATGCCAAACGTCACCTAAGGAAAGCATAAAGATAGGAAGAAAGAGTGCAGCGAGGGAGACTGTGGGCCCCCAAGGGCCCCAGAGACTCCAGATCCTCCAGATCCTGCAGAGCAGGGACCCAGGCAGAGACTCCAGATCCTCAGAGCCAAGATGCCAAACGTCACCTAAGGAATGCATAAAGATAGCAGGGACCCAGAACCTGCAGAGACTCCAGATCCTCAGAGCCAAGATGCCAAACGTCACCTAAGGAATGCATAAAGAGATAGGAAGAAAGAGTGCAGCAAGTGACACTGGGCCCCAGAGACTCCAGATCCTCCAGATCCTGTGGACCCCCAAGGGCCCCAGAGACTGCAGAGAAACATAAAGATCGGGAAGAAAGATTGCAACAAGCAAATTCGCAAAGCCCCGGCTTCTCTGGCGCACTCCCCCCTGTCACCAGCATGGCATCAGACTATTTAAAATATAGATCCGTTGACCGATGCAGTGCATGAAAGACCAACATTGAGATGTCATACAGTTTGGACTTTTCCGGCTCCATTCCATGTTAAAGAGTTCTACCGGCTTGAAACGCAGCTCTAGCGAATCCCTTCGCAATCCTTTGGGTTATGTCTTGAGAAGATAGGGGGAAGACTTGGTATTTCAAGCATTGTGAAACCATTGCTGAGGTGCAAATCCCAGTGAAAAGTTGCTTGGAGGCTCTAAGCTTTTTTGAAATGCCAGCCGGCCCACAGTTCAATACAGAAAATAAAAACCAACACCCTAGAGGTGTTCCTACGATGGTAGCACGTATGGTGGACCTTGGCACGTCTACTTTGCAAGATGTTTCCAGGAATTGCTTTTTTATTACTGAAATTCTTGGCAGCTTGTGCACATACAGGGCATAGAATCTGTAGACTCACCCGGTGTCAATGCCGCAATGCCCCTGATTGTTTTTTGAACTAGAAGGAATGAGTGGAACACGACGACAGAATCCTGCTGTCCAGAATCCAGCTGGGCTCCCCGGCACGATTTCTGGCAACACCTTGGTGCTGAGATGTACTGAGGCAACTGGGTTCTGTTCAGCTGAGCTGGACCCATTTGAAAGAGATTGGTACACCGATCGTGGGAGAGTATTTCTGCAAGTGGCCTGGTGGCACTGAAGCCGACGCCATGTCCAGAGGCAATGTCCTACACACATTTCTAAATCCACTGAACCGAGAACGGGCAGATTTTTTTCTTTTGAAAAGACCTTTGTTGATAGCAAGTGGCAGGAGAACAATTGTGGAGCGGAATGGGCCGAGGGAGTTTGCGGCGTGAGCTTGCAGACAGCTGAGGAAGATCCTTGAAATTTCTCCCGAGATTCGCGAGCTTTTCCCACCGTCTGTGCGATGTAGATATCGGGATTGGTCTACTGATGAGGCACAGGGCCACAGGGCGTTTTGGTGTCACGAAAGTCATAAAACACGAAGACCGCATTGCCTTCTCATTCGTTTCACATGTCTGTTTATAAGATATCTGAACAACAAGTGCATTGTTTTGGACAGTGACCGCCAGATGTACAAGAACACGCACACGATCAGACACATCCATGGTAGCTTTGAATATACTGGATGGGAATTGATCTGAAGGTCCTTGTAGGAATTGTACATGAGGATGGCCCAGGATCAGGATGGCAATATAGGTTGTATCCCTTCCTAATATTTTCTGAGTTCGCCAAATAATCTTTTCCGCTAGAGAAATGGTGAACGGCTTTGGCCTATCATATATATTTCATATATCATGTTTCTAGCGCGGAATTGCTCTTGGGTTGGCACTTTGGGTGGTTTTGGAATGGAGCCCGAGAGGAATGTTTTCTCGTGGAGAACTCTAGTACATTTGGAAATGCACCTCCAAGCTGGATTCAGGGTTGGAACAATTTTCAATGATTTTAATGCCAATTTCTTCCAAAAGTTTCGCTAACATGTCGCGAGAGCAGTCCCGAAAGCTCAAGTGTCTCGGGAAGCCAGTACCCCACGCAACACAGTGAGAAAAATGCCATCGAACAATTCTGCATGCGGCTGTGGAGTTCATGACACACAACTTACTGTAATTACATCGATAGCTTTTCGCACCAAAAGGGTCTAACAAAGATCACTGTTCTTCCCAGCAGCAAGAAAGTGGGTCAAGGTATCCCGGTATCCCGCTAAAGTCAAACATGAAGTTCGCACGAGTTTTGACAAAGAATAGGCTGAACTAAATTAGGTCAACAATGGTCAACACCCATAAGCTCCCGGCATGAGTTCGTTACACGTGTGAAATGTGCATGCATGCTCACAGGCAAGGGTATCTCCCACGTAGATACACACACACACAAATAGATACAATGATGGACAGATACGAGCAGGCACGCACTCACAAACGCACATGCGCAGCCTTGCGCACTAGCATGCACAGCCACACCCCCATCCACTCACATCCATCCATATCATCCATCCATCAGACAGAAGGAGGGTTGTTCTTTGGTTTTGGGTTTTTGGGCCTTGAGTTGATGCTTGTAGGATTATGGTTTCGGGGTAGTCTGGTAGTCGGGACACGCCGCTGAGTGGGTGACACACACACACACACACACTTGCTCAGTTTCTCTCTTTCTCCCTCTCTCTCTCTCTCTGTCTCTCTCTCTCTCTCCCTCTCTCTCTCTCTATCTCTGTCTCTCACTCTCTCCCTCTTTCTCGCACATTCAATATGTCTCTACATATAATGCTGCTACGTGGAAAGGATTGTTTATAGATTAGTCCATCCAGAAATCTTCTACTCCTCCGTCTCTTTGCATGCACGGATGCGTGTACACACTTGTCCAGGTGTATAATGTTGATCAAATGTGTAATGGATTGTAATGGTGCGCGTGTTTTTGTGGCTGGAGCTGTTGCCATGGCTGCAGGAGGAGGATGATGCTTGGCAGACTTTGATGCATCTGGGAAAGTCGGGTTGACATTGCCGAGGTCACAAGAAGTAACAACCGAACCAGGTTGCTGGATGTATAAAGTCTGGATCTTGACCAGATATGGTCAATGAAGTGGGCCATAGAAGAAGACCTTCGCAATTGGTTTGATGACTTGAGGACTTCACACAAAGCATTGTATTATATTGTATTTCTTATGTCGAAACACCAGAGCTATTTCTTCTTTTGAGCTACTCTGGGGTGCGAAAGAATCCATTTCGCAGTCAAGGCTATACAGGTACCTGCAGGATAGTGGATTGTCATGGATAGTCCCTGCTAATCTATGGTGCGTTGTAGAAACTTCATGCAGTGTGGTAAGAGAATGCATCATATGCATCCTGAGGAGCTAAATTTGGCGTCTTCTCCTGCGTTGCGCCGACTCTTTGGCCGGGTCATTGATGCTGTAGGCAGCGCTGTGTCTGGCATGCAGGACACGGAACGAGAAGTGCGCTGGGAATGCTGTGACTACAGGTTACCCGCTTACCCAGGTTCTTGTATTTTCTTTATTTGAGTGGCAACCATGCGTTGGCACTCCATTCCCATTCTCCCTCCCTCGGAGAATGCTGACCTGAACTTGATATGTTTCAATCTGTGACGTATGGCAGCAACCACTGTGGGTTCTGTCCAGCAAAAGGAAGATTTTGGAAGTAAATCAGTGAATCATTGCTTAATGCACTCTCATGGTCTCCATACTCAAACCGAATCTGCAAGTTTGGACAAGGACATGAACAAGATGGTTCCAGCTTTGACTGAACTGGGCCTCCGTCATGTTCCTCGGCAAGAAATTCACAAGCCACAAAGACATGACATGTATCAAAAGCTACCATTGAAAAGCGCTTGAAGCACAGCACCAAAGTCAACTTTTAATTGGGGAGCAGACCCCATGCCAATTTTTGAAACGAGAATCACTTGGCCCACTTGGCCCTCAGAGATTTGGTCTTATTATTATTCAGCCAACTCCCTCATTCGAGAGAACCAGATAGTGCTTCGTTGCAGGATCTTTTGCAGTGTGATCTCTAGGTATTTACACTATTCTACACTAGTGCATTTCATGGCAGGTCAACTACAACGTGAAGGAAGAACACTTTCAAGTGTTCGAAAAGGCCAGCTACACTGCTACACCAGCATAGGAGGGCTGGAACTGCTGGAACTGGGACCACTTAGCAGGACTTTGCAGTCTCCTTTTCAGTCTCAGTTCCTGATCCTTTTCTCCTGGCAGCTGTGGACCGACACAATGTGGCTTGGTACATCAGAGAATATGACATAATATGACCATTTTGGGAATCTAATGGAATCTAGTAGTAACAAAGATGTGGCTGTGGCTTGGTGGGGTCATAGGAGAAAAACGACTTATAGAATCATAGTTGCCTAGTGAGGCAAGGAGGCAAATGCTGCTGTGTTTTTGCCAACTAAATAAGAGTACGGTGGATCCACTATGCTGACCCATGGCATAAGAATTCCAATTCCCTAACACGCGCATTTTGACACATGGATCTGAAGCGGTGTTTGTGACAGGCTCTGATGCTGACCCTTCGAGAAGGCCTTGGTGACCTGTTCACCAAGGCGCAACTTTAATTGACGTTTGCCGCAATCTGCCACAGTCAGTGATCGTCGCGCCACAAATAGTCTGCCTCTGTCACTTTTGCCTCAAAATTCCAGGAAGTCGAGTTTGCATGGAACATGGCCTTCAACTTCATGACCGCTACCATGATGTCGGGTATTCGTAGCTTGGTTGCAGAAGGCACGACGTGTTTAATTCATTCGATGTAATGACATGTGCTGTATATTGCCATATTGCTGATACTTCACAGATGCTGAGTCTTCAGGAGGCAGTTTATTACTTTGTAACTTGTCTCCTTCACCTGCCTCCCTCCCTTTTGTATCCGTGTGTATGATTTTTGCAAAATTCGGGTACCAATCAAATCAGATGCTTTCTGGATGCACCTCTTGTTATTTTCTTCCGCCGTCTCACCCAGGCTCAGCACAAAATGCAGTTCGATCGAGACAAGCCGAGCAACTTGGCCAATCTGTGGAAGTTCCACAGACGCTTTCACTCTCTTTCAAATTCTTTTAATATCTTTTGATGCTGCTTTTCGAAGTCTAATTTGCCAAGCTGGTACAGACTTTTGTTTTGATTTGTAGACACCGAACCCCAAAACGACAGCAAAACTGTTTCTGCTTTAGCAGAGACTGTCATCTTCATATCAACGTGCAACCACCATTCATCCGCACAATTTTGGGTGATGGAACAGCACCGAGGGTGAGTCCAGTGAGTCGCCTACTGGTCCTTACTCCATGGCCTTTGTGTTTTTAGGAGCAAGGAGCCGAACATGAGTACGACTGCTACTCCTTCTGAGACTCCTTCCTCTGCGAGTGGTTCAGCTCGAGCAAGGCAAGGGTTTTGCCATGGTCCACACACACGTGATACAGATGTGCTGCAATTCACACAGATCTCTGTCTGCACTTGGAGGCCAGCTAAACAGCAAGATGCTGCCTCTTCGTTTGGGGCTCCTTGCCTGGGTCAACGTGAATGAGTAGCCTGCAATCCAGCTTTGGCTTGTTAAAATTTGAAGTCATGACAGTGAGAGGTTGCAAGAAGTTGCAAGAAGCTGGAAATTGGGTACATGAAAAAACATTTGACAACTCCTGCTCCACAGTGCCCCAGTGAAAACCTTCGGGGCTTCCATGCTTTCTCCATCAGATGAGATCTCAGGTTGGCACAGAGCTGCAAGGCGGCAAAGAGCCATACCGAATAGAGAGACATCTTCAGAAGGCCTGGTGCTAAGTGGTTCCATTGTTGGGAATGATGACACGAGATATGGATCGATATGGCAAGTCTGGAAAACTTGGATGGAGATGCAGAGACACCAAGCCGATCAGAAGCCTCTTTGCCCTCAGAATCAGCATGAGATTGCAATTGCTATGGGGACAATTTGGAATGCAACCTCAGCGATATCATTCTACACAGTTTTCGAATGGGCCCATGTATATTAATCAACACATTTTTTTGCTATGTCAGGAGGTCAACTAGTCAACTAAAGTCATGACTTGCATGACTTCTGGGGCGATGTTGGGCGGTCACACCAAGGCGATCTTCGGAGATGTTTTTGAGGCTGTGGGGCTCGAGACAGAACGGCGTCTGGCTGTGAAGGTCACCGAGCTAGAGAAGATGAGACTGCAGGCCCGGCCCAGCCCAGCCCAATGCCGTACGGGCCATGCAGCTTGATGTTGGATTGGCAATTGACACTTCGTTTCCTGTTTGAGATTGTGAGATGTTTTGACATGGATTTCAAGTGTTTTGAATTTTAAGAGAGAATCTGGAATCATTTGCAGACAAAGACAGGGTGCTCCAAGAGTGCAGAGAGAAAGGAAAAGAAAGAGGCTGCTGTAGGTAGTGTTGGTGTGCAAAACCCCACACAACTTGAACATGATGTGCCTCCTTGCTCTGGCGGAGGCAAAGCACCAAGCCCTAGTTGAATCGCCTCTGTGTGAGATCCGCTTCGCAGAAATGATGACTCTTGGCAATCCTGCGAGCAAAGGAACCATTGGCAGCTAGGATTTCTGCTTGCCAGCAGAAGAATGAATCCAACTTCATGGCCAAAGTGCGGAGTCATGTGCGTGAAACTCCAGCTTTGTGCTCTGCACTCTCAGGAAGGGACTTGACAATGTGATGCAGTTGGAGGACCAATGCAAAAAGCATACTGCATGAGATTCAAACCAGGTTCCACAGGGCAACAGCAATGACACTGACATAAGGAAACATCAGAGAAAAGTCAGAACAAGAACCGGCAGAATAGACCTTTACAAAAGAGCAATGAAGAGTAAGCCCAGTAAGCAATCAGTCTTACACAAAAGTGAGGAACAGCCTCGTCCCCGTGCTGATGGCTAACCTCCTGACATATGACCAGATATGACTGGCTAGATATGACCTGTCAGGATACGTTCGGTGATGATGACAGGCACTATGTTCCTTGGATGCTAACAGCATCAGCGCATAGACGACCTGCAAGACACAGAAAGGGACTCCACCAATATTCGGGACCCCTGTCTTGACCTATCCCCCCAAAGGGATCCTGTCAGCCAGTCCCAAAGAAAACCACTTTCCAAGTTTGCAAGTCACGATATTCTCTCGAATGAAGTAGAAGAATGATGAAGAATGTCGATGAATCTACAAGCAGTGTGAACTTTTGGCGCTTTGGTCAGCTCTGGCTGAGGTGGTCATGGAGTTGGCCGCTGGGGGTGACTTGATGGAAGCTCTTCAGAGTCACCGTACTGGCTTTCAGGTCAGCGGTGAGTCAATATCCGCTCCAAGAAAAGTGTTTACAAAGTGTTTACCAACATATACGTCGTAATATGTCGTAATATACGTCGTAATATACGTCGTAATATACGTCGTAATATACGTTGTAATATACGTCGTAATATACGTCGTAATATACGTCGTGATATACGTCGTGATATACGTAGAACAGCGTAGAACCTTGAGGGCTGCAACATCTGCAACTGCTTGTTTGTGTTCTCATACTTCTCATATTGTGTGACCGAAAGTCTGCTAGCGGCATTCTGCAGGAAGAGCAAGCGAAGGAGATGATTCTTGATGCTGCTAGAGGTTCAATTCCAAGTTGTGCTGGTCTGCACATTGCAAACTTGAGACAGACTCGGACCTTCTGATTCTTAGAGAATATCACTTCACGTTTTTGTGTGATTTTTTGCGTTTGGTTGTCTGGGTATTGATTCTTTAGAGAGTGTCAGAACCCGATGCCTGCTGGCCTGTGATGCTTTACATGTGTCATCTTGGTCGTTCATCGTGGGTTCCATTTTCGGTCTAAAAAATGGGGTGTCCAAGTCAGCCATGAAATTTCCTGGGGGAATGTATGATATTTGTCACACAAAAAAAAGGTCAAACAATAATGTTGTGAAAGTGCTTTTGACGCAACACACTCGTTGCTGGTGTTTCAGGGTCTTGACATGAAGTTGCACACATGGGAGGTTTGGCCAGCCTTCACATGCGCGGCCTGGCAGTGCAGGCGGGGAGTTCATGTGAGGTGTTGGCTGAGCTGCTGTGAAGCTTCAACTCTTCCACTGACAGGACGTCTCGTTGGAGAATATGTGGCCAGGATGCAAGATGGGATGCGACTATTCCGACTATTCTGATAAACTTTCTGTTATGAGAACCAACTGCACGCAACTCGAACTATATTCACTTTGCGTCCACTGACAGCCAGTTCGGACCTTGAGCAGTCTCATTGGGGAAATGACCCAGCCCACCTTACTACATCTTTCCTGTCCCAAAAAGACAAGGCTCCTTTTCTTGGATGAGGATGGGCAATGGCAGGCGAGCCAGGGAAACTGCGTCTGTTGTGCTCGCCCACTATGTTGGGCTTTCGTGTATTACTGTAGGTCTTTGCGAGAACCTTTGGAAGATGTTTGCTGATGTTTCCCGAGCTCGCTGAGCTCGCTTCTTTGTTTCTCGCCTTCCCGATTTCCGCTTTGTCAGGTGCGAGTTGGAGATCCTGGACAGGCAGTGGCCTTCGTGATGGATCCAGCAACTGGTCAGGCGAACTGATCATGTCTGGTTCTGCCAATTTTTAGGGAATTCCAACCTGAATCACTTGTAGAAGCGGTATGTTTGGTAGATCCGTGCCGTATTTGTTGGTGCCGGCGAGATGGCAGATCTCAACGTTTCTTCTTCACCTTTGATTTGCTGAGAATTGCTGATGACAGGAGAAAGCGGTCCCGTTCAACGGTTTGGTGGCTGATGATTTTCGACCACCAGAGCTTTACGACGAACAGGAGACTCATTTGCTGGCTGGGAGGATATGATGTGTGTCACGCTTGCAACATCTTGCAACACATAGATGAGAATACCACCTCCATGATCGATCATGTTTGCATCGGTGCACAGTTTGAAGAAATTGGCGTTCTTTGAGGACTACCTGGCCAGCCGTGTAGACTCCTGGTGCTTGGGATGGAACACCTTCTACCTTCTCACCTCTGCACCCTGGCCAAACTCGCTTGTGAGTCAGATTGAACAGTCTCTTGATTCAGCTTTTATTTCGTTCAAAGTTCAAACTTCGAGCAGAAGAATCAACTCATTTGCAAATCAGGTGCCCCTCTTCAAGAGCTCCGCTGGGGTCCCTGGTGCTCGTTGGAGACGGATTCGTTGGGAAAAAATGCTGAGATCTGATCTGCTTAGTGTTGCCTGATACAAGGGACATTAAGGGACGTCCACTTTGATGCTCTCAGGATCCGGCAATGCAGGATCCGGACTTTTTGCTGCTTCTTGTCCAGCAAAGAAACGCAAGACATCCCAAAACTTCGAAAGACTCAGGTTAGAATTTCTGTTGCCACACTGAACTTTCTCTCAGATGGTGTGAGGCTCTGTCAGGGGAGAATATCGCAGCTCTTCGAAGTGAAAGGTGTGCCTTGTCTTTTTGAATTGCCAAGCTTCGCAGAAACTTTCGAGAAAGTTTGCGGGATGACACGATATAGAACTGCCGACCATTCAAGTTTGCAGGTCGACAGCATTCCGGGAGTACAAAGCCGCTCAACTGAGGTCAGCAGCCGCTTGTCCTACGATGCGAAGGCGAAGGGTTGGGAGAAGCATTGCGCATGATCAGATGACGGAGTAGACACTTGCTTGTGCTGTGAAAATAGTTCACTGGTGCCTTTGGTCTTCAATATGTCTCACCCAACCTGCTGAAAGCGGTAGAACCCACTCCCACTTCTCAAAGCTACCCCCACGCTCAAAACGCAGTCCTTTGGCTCTTCTTGTGCTTTCCCTGAAAGGACTTTGTGACACAGCTGATGCATCGAGAAGTTTGGCCGCAAGAATGTAGAACTCTCTGTATCTCATTGACTTTGCGTGCCCTTTGCGTGCGCTACTGGGTGGGCTGCTAAATGGCAGTGATGTCTATGCTTGACGACAATGCTTGAAGGGACAGCTTATATAATCACCACGACGAAGCCGACTTTCTATTTGACCTATTCTCTAAATGCATGAAATTAAGCCATCGGCCAGAAGATTTCCGCTAGGCTTCTGGAATGCAGTTCAGCATATACCGCTGGAACTTGTATGCTTCCATCATTTTCAACCTGTGGGAGGGTTCCAAAGTGCTTCTGACTCCACTGGACAGGGTCTCTTGCTTCGAGGATCCTGTGAAGCGCATGCCAATCAAAGATGCTTTGTGGCATCCGTGGCTCAAAGTGCTCCCCTCAAGCTGTGCAGCTTGCCACTTCGCCATGACGTCCAGTGTGTCTAGGAGACAGGCTTGAAAGCAACTGCATCACTGAGGACTGTCTTGCGCAACAGATGCGTGGCGATAGTACAACGATGCTCTTTTGCAAGCAGCCACCATGCAACCTAGCCACCATGCCACTTGAGCAGCATTAAATCATGGTACGTCGAGATTTTGGCTAAAGTTGGGTACCTTTGGCTAAAGCTATACATATATATATATGTAAAACCCTGAGCGCGAATTCTGCAGGAAAGCAGCGCGAAAGTGACATTCTCGTGAAATGCTGCGAAAATTATCGCGAAGTGATGGGCAGACTTAGATCCAGTTTCTCTATGTTGCGTACTGCAAGATATGCATCAACATGAATTTAGAAGCATCAATAATGCTCATAGATACAAAACAAGGTATACATATTAATTCATCCTTCTTATGGTTTTGTTCGGCGACAGCCGCTGCGAAAGTGAACATGAACAAAATGGTGTCTCAAAACTGAAACCATTGCGCGGGAAAGCAATAGCGAAAACACAACAGGATTATAACCATTTGGCAACCATATTTTCTGTGCTGCTCGCTTAGCCTATGCTTGCTTGCGTCGGTATACCTCAAGCATCCTCAAACCTCATAGTTCTTGTCAACTATACCGTGTGCAGGTGGTTACACGAGCTAAAAGATTCATGCGTTGTTGAGGTAGGAGGAGACATTCACATAGGAACCCCATGCTGGAGGCCTAAGAAATGTGCCGTGATTGACAACTACTCTGTTTGTCTAGCAGCGCAATAGATGGCTGGCCTTGTTGTCATCAATCAGTCACGCATTTGACAAGTGTACATTACCCTCTAGCACTTATGTAATATGTGCATTTATGACATTTTTGCAGATTTCTCCCTGGTGGTGAGCAGAACGAAAGTGTATTCTTTGGAGAAACTATTGTGCTTTCAACATGCGACAGTGTATCTTGTGAGGAGCGTATTAATAAAGGGTTTAAGAGATATGCTTAGAACATCTTAGAACATCGATCTTTTCACAAACCAGTAGAAAGGACAAGGTTAGGAATTCACTACAAGGCCTTCACTTTGGCAGTAGTCCTCCCAATGTCAGCCGAGCATACGGTGTGAATTGGCAGATAGAAATTCATGCGGCCTTGCAAGACACGGAGACAACAAGGAGAGACAGACAGAAAATGACAGAAATGATTTCTAAATGCCTTCTGGTGGTACACAGTCCAAGGTAATTTGCCAGCCGAACCGATCCATTGCTAAGTATCAATTCTGTGTGCAAATAGCATGCCCTGCTCAACCCCAGTCGTTGCAAGGCATAGAACGTGGGTACACTTTAACCGATAGAAAAAGTGCAACACCAAAGACTCATAAGAACCTTCTGCTCTCGATGGTCCAAGTACTCATAAGAAATCGGCGATGAAGCGAATCCTGAAGTACTTCCTGTTGATCCCTTTTGGATTCTGAGTTTGAAAGTCATGGACAATCTGTTTGAGTCTTCTGAGTCTAAGGAAGTTACGGAAGCCTTTGGTGCCGCAGGAGGCGAGTCTCGCTGCGACCTGACGCGGTGTGTGTTTGTCACGAGCCTTTTCAACAATGCCTGATAGCACCCACTCGGAGAGTCATGCATAGAATCCAGAAACTGGAGGCGCATGTTGTGAGGATCGCTTGAGTGATGGTTTATTCTTTTTACTATCGTGCTTAGTCACGCCAGAGCCTGACGCACAGGTACTAGTAGAACCAAAAGTGCTTGCTTCGGTCACGATCCACCAAAATGACTTGGGTCTTGTACCACTCATTCTGATTCGCTCCAGAAACTTCTACACCTGGTAGAATCTGGTAAACACCCCCTGCCATTTCCACCGCACATTCGTACAGTTTCCATGGCTGTCTAGGAAGAAAAAGTGTTTGACATGGCACCAGTGCCAACGAGCTCTCCTGTTCCTTGGCAGAACTCCCACAGGATCTGGGTGACCAAATGATCGAACTCAAACTGACAGTATTGAAATCTGTATAGGCAATTATAATAAATTATATATACGTAGGCATATATATATATGTATATAAATATATATGTATATAAATATATATGATATGTATATAAATATATATGTATATATATATATATATTGTGATGTATATATATACATACATACTGCATATGCAACTGTTTTCCTGGATCTTGGGCGAGGGCAAAGTTGGTTTCCAATTTCCAATGCCAACATTTGATAGTCTCGATATTTGCGGTATTCTTGCTCCCCCACATGGCTGCAGCATATGTTGCAACTTTTAGATTTTGTTTTAGAATTCCAGACACGTGAAAACAATGAACATTTTTCTTTTGAATTGATCCGGCATTGCAGCAGATTGGTGAAATATTTGCTCCTGCTTGTGGTTGATCGCTTTATTTAGGAAAAGTGTTTTTTCGTGTGATACAGCCTGGTTGAGAAATCACAAGCCTTGGCGATGCTGATCATTGCCTGCAGGTAGTTGACCCAGAGAGCGAACGGTCATTTGCCTTGCCAAGGTTGAGCCTGTGCCCTCATTTTCTTCAGCTGCTAGCAGCTCACCGGTGGAGCAACCGTGTTGCATACAGATTTCCAGCAGTCTTCACGAGTTGCAGCGTCTTTCATTCTTCATAATTATTCCAAGCAATTTGTCCCCGGAGTTGCATGTTTTTCTTTTTTGTGAAGGCACGATCTCATGTACTCTAGCTTGGCCGAAGAGCCGCACAAGCGCAGCGGTACCAGTCTGGGGCCTGTTGCACCAGCACATTCTGACCTGGTATTGTCACCACATTGCAGTACAAACTGTGATTACAATCAATACAATCATTTGGCGGATCATGGCAAATCAGAGAGTCCTGTATGCTCTCCAGACATATCAAGAAGTAGCGGGGTGATCTTCTGAAGAGAAAGGGATCAGCATTTCTCGTTTGGCACGGTAGAGTCCGGTAGAGTTAGCTTTCCATGATTCTAGAACATATGTGACGGATGCGCAGCTAATTCCTGACCACAGGTCGAAGTGGGCAGCCCTCCTCTGGCCGAATCGATGAGCTTCGAGCAGTGCTTGCCTTAAATGTCCTATTCTTCATATTCTGCGTTCCAAGGTGGAGTTGGAAGCATTTGGAAGCTTCATGTCAAGACTCGTGGTCTCAATCAATGGAAAGTCAGCAGGGAAAGGTTAGAATGCAATGAAATTCACATTTGTTTTGTCCACTTGGCAAGTTGGGCGCCTTGCTTCAGGAAGACGTTTCTGGTACTAGCCTGCTACAGGCAGCTGCAAGCTGGTCACTGGAGTCTGTGTCCCAGACCGGTTGGCCGTCGCCAATGATAGCGCACAGAATCCCCCCAAGTGCGCTTGAATGGCGTACGGGGCAGATCCAAGAATAGAACGGAACAAACCTCGCAACGTATTCAATTTGTTGGGTCCATTCAGAGGAGCTGCAAGCCCTGCAATAAGTAACTGTTGTAGCACGGTGTTAATTGTTTACTCGAGAATATCATGACAGAAGTCTACAAGCCGTTACGTTTCAGATGAATGTTGGGTCATCTACCAGAGCAGTCTCAGAAGCAAAACAAGGAAAGCAGCAAAGCTTCTTTTTGCTCCATTCACAAACTCAAGTTCTTGCATTTGAGCAATGTGGCTGTCTTTTAATCGGAAACGGGATGGCATGCGAGGGCATTTCCACAGAATTTTTGCTGCCGGTTTGGTCTGGAAAGTTAGACAAATCAAGCCGTCCCCCTTGCTGTTGAACTTTGGCACCCTAAGGCGACTACCAACTCTGTGGCTCGATTTGATTTAGCCCAGATCCTTGCTGGATCTTGTTCATACGAAGTGGGAAGCCTCTAAATTCCAGCTTTTGAGTTCTTGGTCTCTCTTGCTCCCTATGTCTCTTTCAGATCTTCTCAATTCTTTTCAGCCTTCCAAGTATGTGCAGGACCAGTTGAACATGGTTGAACCTGGCTGAGTGACTTTAGGCTCAACAGCCTGCAGTCTGACAAGATTCGAAAGCTTCGCTGTCCCAACCCAAGAGAAGTGATGTGAAGCAACTAAAGATATTGAGGAACAGACATAGTGTCGCTAATTTGGGCTTCCAAGTGAAGAGAGGTTATATAGTTTGCAATCCTGGTGACGCCTTATGCATCTGGAGCCAAGGAATTCGTGATCTTCCCTCGCGAAGATAGCGAGATCCTTATGGTTTTTGACCGAGGTAAGGTTTCACCGGCTGCCCGACGGCTGCAAGAAGACAGCCGAGTAAAAATATGTCCGACAGCTGGAAGCTGAGCCATACGAATGACTTTCGCCATCAACCAAAGAGTCAACTAATATTTTGTGGTGAAGTGCGGCTCAGTGTCAAATGATAGTCAAATGCACGTTTAGATGTGTGGATTCGCTCAGAGCTTGAGCAAACATCAAGAAACAACTTCTTGAATCCTTCCCTGTCACTTCTCTGCGCCCAGAGGTGGCGCCCGGAGGAACACTTAAGAAGCCTCTGCTGTCCATCTCCACCGTCTCCACCGTCTCCACCGTGTCCACCGTCTCCACATCTACGAATCTCATCGAATCTCATCGCATCTCATCGCATCTCATCGAATCTCGCAATTGTTGCTTGGGACAAATGCAATTTATCCAGTATCACTTTTTTGAACTGAATTCCATCTCTTCAATAGCAACTGACGAACTGATGAAGAGGTGGAGAGTGTCAAACACCAGGACTGCAGACTAGCTTGGCATACGGCCGAGCCGGCCGTTTGTTGCAAAGAACCATGCTGCGGGACTGTGGGACTGGACAGAGCTTGTGGAAGCTGGGACTTACAATCTTTCACTTCCAGCATGGCGGTCCCGGGGGAGGCAAAACGAGAGGAGGTTCTCAAGGAGATGGGTTTGACACAGCAAGACTTGGCTCAGGCGCATCTGCAAGAAGGGCTGATCATTGCCTTAGCAGATGTGAGACAAATTCACGGGTGAGTTGTCTTCGCTGCTCATCATAGGCTTTGAATCAATTGGCATTGTGGCGTTATGCCAAGTTACGTATCAAGGCAAAGGGACCCAAGTGGTATTTGGTCTGTCCGCAAAGTCACATTTGACTTGTGCCAGACAATTGGAATCGACAAAGATGTGCCGTATTTGCTGAACATGAACGAGGACATGGCTTTCATGATTTGAAGTTGGCTGCAACATCTCAGTATGTTTACCAAGAAACAAACTTTGGTAGAGAGAACACAGACTGGAAAGAGATCCAAAATTCTTGGGGGAGTTCAAAGGATCTTCTGTCGTACTCTAAATATCAAAATTTCCCTTGAGAATAGCTTGAAAAAAATATGTGGATGAAGTTGGGGGTGTGCTAGTAGCTGCTAGTCGAGACTTCCTGGATCTTTCCACAATGCTAGCATCCGCATCACATGGGCGCCGTCGGGCTGTCAGCTTCAAGCTGTGAGCAGGATCCGGCCTTGGCTGGCAAGATGATGTACTTCCTCCCATTGAGGACGCGGTTGATGCGGTTGATTCAGTTGTTTGTTCTTTCGTCTGATGGAGGCTGAAATATTCGAAGCAAGTTCTGATAGAACACACACTGTCAAGGAATTTAATGTCAGCCATTCTTGGGGCTTGACCCTGCAGGCAGCCAATCACCATCGGCGCGAACCAGGACAACAAGATCGTGCTGCAGGCAATGCAGACACTTTCGCAGAGCTTTGCTAAGCTGCTAAGTGCAGTCAGTGGTTTAGCTGTAGGCGACGTAGATGGAACATTTTGGTTCTGCCGTTTTCTTAAGCCTGTATCGAAGACCTGAATAAACACTTCCCTGGCAGGGTCTGGGTATGCCAGACCATCTTTGTGAGATCGAGAACCTGGAAGAAGGTGTTGTGGTCTGAGTCTCAAAATGTCTTAAAGCCACTTGTGATTACCAGTCATGACAGTCATGGGCAAATTTGGGCAATTTGGACAGCAGACACACGGCCAAGGTGAGAACGTGTCAGCAGCAAGAAACTGGACATCCTGGTGCGAAGAGCATGAAGGCACCAGCTGAGCAAAGCAGCGACGGAAACAGAAAAAGGCTTGAAAGACATTGTTACATTGATGAATGTGTATCGTGACAAGCATGTTGATGATCTTTGATGCAGACTTTTTTGTGTATGGCCCGGCTAAGGCACGGGTGTGCGTTAATGCCTCTGCCATGAAAGAGAATGAGCAGAGGAAGCTCAAGGCAAGCCCAAGCCCTCCTGTGCATCGTCGTTCTCGCTACTGCTGCTACATTGCCACATTCCTCCAGCCGTGAGCATTCGTTTCATTCAGGCTTTCAGTAACTGGGTCAACTGAGTTTTTTAATGTCACCTCCCAATACACGATTGGGACCATGTCATAGCGGACTCAGTCTCGTGTTTTTTCTTCTGTATATTGTGGTCCTGATGTGTGGTTTGGAGGTCAAACTTTGCTGCCGTTGTTGTCTTTCAGCCAATGCGGGGGCAACATTTTAGCAAAGAGACTCTTTCAACTTTCAAGGTGCCCAAAAGCCAAATTCTGGGTTACCTCAACTCTCAGAAGCAAGCTCCAAACAGACAGTTCAAAGGCACCAAAGCAAGAATGGAAGAGGCACACCTCTCTGCCAAGGGAAAGCAAACCATTTTGGAAACAAATGAACTCCTGATAACTACTGCGCATAATCCAACTGGAGTCAGATGTATGAAGCAGTGAAATGCAGTGAACACCACCCATCTTTATCATGTCACCGTTCTTGTGTGTGACCGTGGAGCAGACCTTCAAAAAAATCAGTGGTGGGCATCTGATTTGCAAGATATTGCAGATGATGTTTAGCCAAGAAACCAAAATTTCAACACCGAATATAAGTCTTGAGAACTACCGTTGTTTGAGGTTTCACCTGGGAGGCAAGCGAACATGGTAGTTTCTATCCCACCTTGACGCCATGGCTTCGACTGAACCAGAGACCCAAAGTGCCACAGCGGTGCAGAGCTTGGAGACAGAGAAGCGTATGAAATGAGATGAGGAAGCTTGAGATGTTGAGAGAAAACAAACACATACGACACAGACCGACACAGATGTACAAAGTACAGACTGCACAGATCGCCTACGCGCGTCATGTCGCAATGTGGTCGTTGTATAGTTGTGTTGTATTGCCATGTATTGCTTCATCGTCGTCATCCCCAGGATACATCACGTGGCCCAGATGCTGTGGCCGAGTCTCTAGAGGCTGTCATGGAGCAGTCAAGTCTAGCGGGGCAGGACGCTTTCATGCGCTGAAGCCTGTGGACATTGAATCTGCTTTTTGAATCTTGTTGACCCTTTTTGAATCTTTTGAAAAAAATTGAATATTTTAGAAACATGAAACAGAAACAGCAACCTCCAAACTCCATTGTCAACGACTCCCCGAGAGGATGTAAGTGAAGATACCAAGACAAAGAAACGGAAGTGCAGAGAGGAGGTCGTGTCCCTGATGGGAGCTTCGCGTGGGTGAGGCAATGTTTGGACTCGTTTCATCACCCATTTGGCTACATAGTACGACTGTACAAGATGTGCGAAGGGGGATACGGGATATTCCGATTTGATGAAAAGACGCCCTTCAGCCCGTGCAAAGTGTGCAGTGGTTTGAGTAGTTTGTTGAAGCGGGGTTGAATGCTATTTGTGCATGCCACGCTTGGGCAAGAGGTGCCTTCGAGTGATGTCATGCTTGTCCCATCTGAGGATCTAGAAGACTTTCGGCACCGTTCCAGTCTTAATGATGGGTGCTATTTTTTTCAAGCGCGGCACAGAGTCTGCATTTGGTCCAACATATTTTGAAATGGTCAAAACCCTTTGAAAAATGGTCAACCACTTAAAAACGGTTTAAACTTAAACAGTTTCTCAACAGCCTGGTGGCAGCGCCTTGAGGCTTGGGCAGCTTCAAACGGCCCTGGTGGTTTAACAAACCTTTGGCCTTCAGTGCCTTGGCGGCGGCACGCAGAGGCTGGGGACTGCTGGGTGCAGCTGAAGCTGGTAACCCGTTACACGACACGTTGGCCAAACCGACTAATCCGAGTCGTGTGATATTATAGATCTGTATATAGATGTGTATATAGACCTGTATATTGTGAACTTTCTGGCAGGAACATAGGCAGAATCATTCCGAACACTCCTTCATAGCCAGTTGGTCAAGCGGGAGTCATGTGAACATGGATCGAGACCCGCAGGCCTTGGGCGCAAGCAAAAAGCAGCAGCTTAGGTTGTGCGCGCTCTTGTCATTGGTAGCGGAGCGGTTTGTGCTCCACGGGCCCCATTTTTCTGGCTTAACTGCCCCTGTTGCGGTGTGGCGCAATCAAAGCATTTGGATCGGCCTACAGGGAACCTGCGGAGCTGAGTTGAGGTTTTCTCCTCACAGCCGTGAGGCAACCTGGCGAGACTTGCAAGCCAACCTCCGGTCAAGCACGTCGAGCTCTACTTGACTGGTGGGAGCTCTTGGGTGTTCCTCAGCGGTGCCAAATTGACCAGGACAGCTGCTTTCGTGGTATCTTCAAGTCTGCGTTGGACACCTTTGGAATTGAGGACATCCTGATTGCCCGTGACGTTCATTGGAGTCATGGCATGGTTGAGAGACGTGTTTTGATGCTAAAGGAGATGGTTGCAAAATTGGCCCCAGAATTTCATGCGAAGGGCAGTTTGCTGATGAGAGTGGTGATGACGGAGTGTGCCCACACCATCAACAGGCTGAAAAACAACCAAGGCTTCTCTCCAGCTCAATGTCGCGTGTTGGGTTCCAACACCACTCTGCCTGAAGTGATCAGCGGTGGGAGGATCCACCCTGCCATGCAAAGGAATGACTTTCTGATGGAAATGCGTCTTCATTCGCAACAACTTTGTGCAGAATCATTTGCGAAGGCTAGCCACAACTCAGCCTTACGCCGTGCACTTTCTCAAGTTCGAAGACAGCCTGGACCTTTCGAACTCCATTGCATGGTACAAGGGGAAGATGGCAAAGCACCAGATGCAGCACACATGGCATGGACCAGCCCGTGTCATTGGGAAGGACCTTCATGGTTATTGGCTGATCCACCGTGGAATGCCAATCCTTGCGCATGCCAACAACTTGAGGCGTGCTGTGGATTCTGAGATGTTCGGGAACCCTGGTGCTAGGCCTATGGAAGATGAGGACGATGATGATGATGGTCCTGGAGGTGGACATGGACCAAAAGCGCAACGTGGAATCTTGGACCTCACCAAAGAGATTCCTGACAATCCCATGGAGTCAGTGGAGGATGATGTGTTCACTGGCGAATCTCGTTTTGGTGACGGCCTTCCCATGTCTCATCCTTCTGACCGTCCTGAGAATGAGTACTTCCCGGAGGATCTGCTCGATCCAAAACCACTTCCTGAAGATCTCCAAATGATTGAAGACAAAGCTGATGGATGGCAAGTTAGAGCATGACATGGCCCAACTTTCCTCAAGACCAATCCAACCAACTTCATAGTGCCAACTCCTTTTCCAGAGTTTGAGCTTCGAACAACATGGGTTCGTGACAACACTGGTTGGTACTTGCTTGAGGATCGAAATCTTTGGAAAACATGGGATGGTCCTGAAAAGGCCATTGGATGTAGAGTATGAGAAGATGATCGCAGTCTTCAATCGAGATCACCACGCTGGTCCGGATCCTCAAGGACCTGAAGAAGTGGAGAATGTCTTTGATGATGAGAAGCTGGAAGAACGAAGATTGAGAAGTGTCTCAAGGTCTTCTCGCCGAAGGAAACGGAGGAGGAAACAGAAGCTGCAAGATCAGACCCAACTTCCAGAAGATCTTCAAAGCCAACAAACTTTGAGGAACATGCAGCTCAAGAAGATCGCAAAAGAAAGGCACTTGATGATGTCCCACTTTCCTTGCGGACTGGCGGTGGAGATGCTGAGGATGATCCTTCCAAGTTGGCTCGACATGATGATGAGCATGATGTGGGAGAATCGAAGCATCATGATGATGCTGAAGTGGACTTCATGGTCTTCTTAGCCGAGCGGTTGTGTGACCACTATGAGAAACGCAACAAGCATGTTGAGCTCAACCATCGGCGTGTCTATGAACAGTTGAAGGAATTCCCAAAGAGGTCATTGATGATGCTATGCAACGTGGCCTTGACAAAGAATTCCAAACTTGGGACAAATTTGAAGCCATTGAGGTGATCCCCCCTGCTCAGGCCAACGAGATCCGCAAGAATGAGAAGGACAAAGTGATCAGCTCATGTTGTGTGTGGACAAGAAAGGAGACTGGTGATGGAAAACTTGAGGTCAAATGCCGAATCGTCGGGCGTGGATTTCAGGAGCAGCTTGATGAAAACGTGAGAAGGGACAGCCCTACATGTTCTCAACTGCTGGTGAGCCTGATTTGCTCGATAGCTGCAAGCCGTGGCATGAAGATGACCGCACCAGATGTTCGTGGTCCTTTTCTGCAAGGTTTGAAGATCGACCGTAAGCTCTATTCCGAGCTTCCTTCAAACACTGGCAAGGCGATGATCAATGGCATTGAGCCTGGTTCCTTGCTGAGGTTGAAGAAGAGCATCTATGGTGTCAACGATGCTGCGAGGCAATGGTATCAATCCTTTCGTGCCATTCTCATCCGGCTTGGATGGTAGCCTCTGACTTTTGAAAATGCTGGATGAATGCTGGTTTTATTTTCAGAGAAGATTTCTCAGGAGATCATTGCAGTTATGGCATTGCATATGGATAATGTGCTGCTGGCGATGGACTATGGTCAATTCCCTGATGAATGCAAGAAACTGGAGGAGGACTTGAAGTCTTCAGTTGAATGGGGAGTCTGGCAAGCATGCATGGACGGAAGAGTCAAATTCTGCGGAAGGAGCTACAAGCAACTTCCTGACTTCACGGTGGAGGTGGATGATGATGACTGCATCAACTACATACATGACGCCATGCAGGCTGAGCCGTGAGAAGTTGAGGCAGAGAAATCGAGCTTTGACAGCTGATGAGTTTCGTGCATTCTGTGGCATCCTTGGCCAACCGCAATGGTGTGCACGAATTGCTGGTTATGATTTGCAGTTTGCTATTCGCCAGTTGGCTGGCCAATTGAAGGGTCCGACAATTGGTGACTTGGCAGAAGCTGCAAAACTCAGCCGAACAATTCAACAAGAGCATCAAGGCCGAAAGATGATTTTCGTCCTGGTATTAACTTCAAGAATGGTGAAACCGCAGTGGTGGCAATCCATGATGCGAGCTTCGCAAATACTGAGGGGCACAAATCTCAGAAAGGACACTGGATTGCGATTCCAAACAAGGAGATGCTGACTGACAAAGCCCAATTGCACCGTATGCATATGTTTCAGTGGCATCTGGAAGGATTCAGCGAGTGGTTCGTAGCACTTTCTCTGCAGAGGCCTACTTCTGGAAGGATTCAGCGAGTGGTTCGTAGCACTTTCTCTGCAGAGGCCTATACTCGTGTTCAGAGGCCATGGATTCTTTGAATTTTCTGCGTGGGACGTTGTGCGAGATGTTGCAGCCACAGGCTATTTCCAAGGAGTATGCCAACAAGCTCCATACTATTCCCGGCGTTTGTGTGACAGACTGTCGGAGCCTTTATGATTGCCTGCGCTCTGAGAGGACTTTGCTTTCAGATAAGAGACTGAGTTTGGAGGCAGCAATTATTCGACAATCGCTTTCTGAAAACCTGGGAATCCATTGGGTGTCAGCAGAACAACAGCAGGCAGATTGTTTGACAAAGACTCTGGGTAAGAAAGGGCTCAACTACATACAACAAGTGCTCGCAGACAACACTTGCATGCTTGGGCCGGATCCACGAATTGTGATCAAATGTCTTCGTGAAGAAAAAGCTGGTAAGATAGCAACGTATGCAGAGAGTCAAGCGGCGAATGGTGATTACACAAAGAGGATGAGCAGTGGTGCTGGCACAACCACCATTTTGGTGGCCACACTTGCAAGTTGTTTCACATCCGCTGAAGGAAGTGTCGATGATGAGGGTCATCACGTACTCCCAGCAAGAGATTGGTTAATGATTGTGATGGTGTCGTGCTCATAGATTGAAGCTGGGTAGTATAGAAGATCTTGAGAGAGAATTCAAAACATGCCGGCCTTGACTGTGGACCAGTTGCAACACATGATGAAGAAGAGGGACAACATCCGCTACATAGGTGTTATCGCAGAGGAGAGTCACGGCAAGGCTACTTTGGCCAGCTCTTTGATTTCCCAGGCAGGAATTACGATTGAAAACTTGACTGATGAAGCGCAAGCCTCTCAAGAGAGAGGTCAAGAGAGAGGCGATTCAGGAGTCTCTTTGTATGCCCAGCACGACGGGGAGCCGTACTTGATCAACCTGGTCAACATCAGCTTGAGTTCCCCTGAGGTGACTTCATCTCTTCGAAGCATCGATGGTGCAATCGTGCTGGTAGATTGCAACAAGGGTTGTGGCAAGCAGACAGAGTGTAACTTGCGCCGAGCTCTTTTTGAGCGCGTGAAGCTTTGCCTTTTTATCAGCAAGGTGGATTCCTGCATGCAGATGGAAGCGGAGGCTGTCTACCAGCGTTGTGTCGCCGCCAGCGACGGTGTGAACAAAATCGTAGCAATGTTCAACGATGTTCTCACACCAATGGACATGCGAGTGCATCCTAAGGATGGCACAGTTGTGTTTGGCAGTGCTTTACATGGATGGAGCTTCACCATTTGGCAATTTGCCAAGATCTATGCAGCCAAGCTGGGCCTTAACGAGGAAAAGCTGCTTAATCGGATGTGGGGGGACTGCTTCTGGCATGCCAGAAAAAAGTCTGGACCAATGTGCCTGAGCCAGAAGGCTGCACTGAGCCTTTGCAGCGAGTTTTCTGTGAGTTTATCATCCTGCCCATAAAGCATCTGACGCAGGCAATTGGTGACAATGACATGGAGCAGCGCAAGAAGATGATGACCTATTTTGGGATTGTGCTTACGGAGCACGACGAGGAGCTGAGTGGTGATGTTTTACTGACGCGAACGATGCAAGTGTGGCTCAACTCCATGGACAGCCTCTTGGGCATGGTAGTCACAAAGCTGCCATCACCCCAAGCTGCCGAGAAGTATCGGGTGCAGAATTTCGGGGAGGAGAGCACCAGTATCTGTGGCCCTGGATGTCCGTTGATGGTGCGTGTTTCTGACACGGGCAGCAGCTACGCCTGGTGACTGCAGCGGTTCTATGTGCTGGCATTTTACCCAGTTACCACCTTGTGCACTGAAAGGTTCTGAAGGTTGTGACGTTGCGGGCGCTCTAGAAGTTTGAACAATGGTCATTGATTTCCTTTGCAACGTGGTTGTGTACGGTATGTGCATTTGCTTGTGGTGATCTTTTTGGAGGAGTTCAATCAAATAGCTGGCAATTTGCGATGTACATTATTCAACATGCATTGGATGTTACTTTGTTAAGAATGGGTTCAGATGAGCGCAGATCAGTTTTGAGGCGCAGATTGTTTCGACATGGTAGATCAGGGACTCCAACTTCAAGTCCTGAAGAAGCGGACTTTTCAGATGAAGAACCAATCGATGATCATGCCGCTGAACAAATGATGCTGCAAGCAGTTCGTCTTGCAAACCCTGACATGGATGATGCAGCTCTCATAGAGAGCATCTGACTGCAGGCCGGGGTGTGGCTACGACAGGGTCGATATCGACCACGTCCTAGAACTCCAAAGAATGATCAATGCAATACGGTTTGAGCAACCTGCCGCGGAAGAATGATCAGCCCACAAAACTTTTAGGAATGTGAGCTTAAGGATTCAGCGAGTGGTTCGTAGCACTTTCTCTGCAGAGGCCTACTCGTGTTCAGAGGCCATGGATTCTTTGAATTTTCTGCGTGGGACGTTGTGCGAGATGTTGCAGCCACAGGCTATTTCCAAGGAGTATGCCAACAAGCTCCATACTATTCCCGGCGTTTGTGTGACAGACTGTCGGAGCCTTTATGATTGCCTGCGCTCTGAGAGGACTTTGCTTTCAGATAAGAGACTGAGTTTGGAGGCAGCAATTATTCGACAATCGCTTTCTGAAAACCTGGGAATCCATTGGGTGTCAGCAGAACAACAGAAGGCAGATTGTTTGACAAAGACTCTGGGTAAGAAAGGGCTCAACTACATACAACAAGTGCTCGCAGACAACACTTGCATGCAGAGAGTCAAGCGGCGAATGGTGATTACACAAAGAGGATGAGCAGTGGTGCTGGCACAACCACCATTTTGGTGGCCACACTTGCAAGTTGTTTCACATCCGCTGAAGGAAGTGTCGATGATGAGGGTCATCACGTACTCCCAGCAAGAGATTGGTTAATGATTGTGATGGTGTCGCGCTCATAGATTGAAGCTGGGTAGTATAGAAGATCTTGAGAGAGAATTCAAAACATGCCGGCCTTGACTGTGGACCAGTTGCAACACATGATGAAGAAGAGGGACAACATCCGCTACATAGGTGTTATCGCAGAGGAGAGTCACGGCAAGGCTACTTTGGCCAGCTCTTTGATTTCCCAGGCAGGAATTACGATTGAAAACTTGACTGATGAAGCGCAAGCCTCTCAAGAGAGAGGTCAAGAGAGAGGCGATTCAGGAGTCTCTTTGTATGCCCAGCACGACGGGGAGCCGTACTTGATCAACCTGGTCAACATCAGCTTGAGTTCCCCTGAGGTGACTTCATCTCTTCGAAGCATCGATGGTGCAATCGTGCTGGTAGATTGCAACAAGGGTTGTGGCAAGCAGACAGAGTGTAACTTGCGCCGAGCTCTTTTTGAGCGCGTGAAGCTTTGCCTTTTTATCAGCAAGGTGGATTCCTGCATGCAGATGGAAGCGGAGGCTGTCTACCAGCGTTGTGTCGCCGCCAGCGACGGTGTGAACAAAATCGTAGCAATGTTCAACGATGTTCTCACACCAATGGACATGCGAGTGCATCATAAGGATGGCACAGTTGTGTTTGGCAGTGCTTTACATGGATGGAGCTTCACCATTTGGCAATTTGCCAAGATCTATGCAGCCAAGCTGGGCCTTAACGAGGAAAAGCTGCTTAATCGGATGTGGGGGGACTGCTTCTGGCATGCCAGAAAAAAAGTCTGGACCAATGTGCCTGAGCCAGAAGGCTGCACTGAGCCTTTGCAGCGAGTTTTCTGTGAGTTTATCATCCTGCCCATAAAGCATCTGACGCAGGCAATTGGTGACAATGACATGGAGCAGCGCAAGAAGATGATGACCTATTTTGGGATTGTGCTTACGGAGCACGACGAGGAGCTGAGTGGTGATGTTTTACTGACGCGAACGATGCAAGTGTGGCTCAACTCCATGGACAGCCTCTTGGGCATGGTAGTCACAAAGCTGCCATCACCCCAAGCTGCCGAGAAGTATCGGGTGCAGAATTTCGGGGAGGAGAGCACCAGTATCTGTGGCCCTGGATGTCCGTTGATGGTGCGTGTTTCTGACACGGGCAGCAGCTACGCCTGGTGACTGCAGCGGTTCTATGTGCTGGCATTTTACCCAGTTACCACCTTGTGCACTGAAAGGTTCTGAAGGTTGTGACGTTGCGGGCGCTCTAGAAGTTTGAACAATGGTCATTGATTTCCTTTGCAACGTGGTTGTGTACGGTATGTGCATTTGCTTGTGGTGATCTTTTTGGAGGAGTTCAATCAAATAGCTGGCAGTTTGCGATGTACATTATTCAACATGCATTGGATGTTACTTTGTTAAGAATGGGTTCAGATGAGCGCAGATCAGTTTTGAGGCGCAGATTGTTTCGACATGGTAGATCAGGGACTCCAACTTCAAGTCCTGAAGAAGCGGACTTTTCAGATGAAGAACCAATCGATGATCATGCCGCTGAACAAATGATGCTGCAAGCAGTTCGTCTTGCAAACCCTGACATGGATGATGCAGCTCTCATAGAGAGCATCTGACTGCAGGCCGGGGTGTGGCTACGACAGGGTCGATATCGACCACGTCCTAGAACTCCAAAGAATGATCAATGCAATACGGTTTGAGCAACCTGCTGCGGAAGAATGATCAGCCCACAAAACTTTTAGGAATGTGAGCTTAAGGATTCAGCGAGTGGTTCGTAGCACTTTCTCTGCAGAGGCCTACTCGTGTTCAGAGGCCATGGATTCTTTGAATTTTCTGCGTGGGACGTTGTGCGAGATGTTGCAGCCACAGGCTATTTCCAAGGAGTATGCCAACAAGCTCCATACTATTCCCGGCGTTTGTGTGACAGACTGTCGGAGCCTTTATGATTGCCTGCGCTCTGAGAGGACTTTGCTTTCAGATAAGAGACTGAGTTTGGAGGCAGCAATTATTCGACAATCGCTTTCTGAAAACCTGGGAATCCATTGGGTGTCAGCAGAACAACAGAAGGCAGATTGTTTGACAAAGACTCTGGGTAAGAAAGGGCTCAACTACATACAACAAGTGCTCGCAGACAACACTTGCATGCTTGGGCCGGATCCACGAATTGTGATCAAATGTCTTCGTGAAGAAAAAGCTGGTAAGATAGCAACGTATGCAGAGAGTCAAGCGGCGAATGGTGATTACACAAAGAGGATGAGCAGTGGTGCTGGCACAACCACCATTTTGGTGGCCACACTTGCAAGTTGTTTCACATCCGCTGAAGGAAGTGTCGATGATGAGGGTCATCACGTACTCCCAGCAAGAGATTGGTTAATGATTGTGATGGTGTCGCGCTCATAGATTGAAGCTGGGTAGTATAGAAGATCTTGAGAGAGAATTCAAAACATGCCGGCCTTGACTGTGGACCAGTTGCAACACATGATGAAGAAGAGGGACAACATCCGCTACATAGGTGTTATCGCAGAGGAGAGTCACGGCAAGGCTACTTTGGCCAGCTCTTTGATTTCCCAGGCAGGAATTACGATTGAAAACTTGACTGATGAAGCGCAAGCCTCTCAAGAGAGAGGTCAAGAGAGAGGCGATTCAGGAGTCTCTTTGTATGCCCAGCACGACGGGGAGCCGTACTTGATCAACCTGGTCAACATCAGCTTGAGTTCCCCTGAGGTGACTTCATCTCTTCGAAGCATCGATGGTGCAATCGTGCTGGTAGATTGCAACAAGGGTTGTGGCAAGCAGACAGAGTGTAACTTGCGCCGAGCTCTTTTTGAGCGCGTGAAGCTTTGCCTTTTTATCAGCAAGGTGGATTCCTGCATGCAGATGGAAGCGGAGGCTGTCTACCAGCGTTGTGTCGCCGCCAGCGACGGTGTGAACAAAATCGTAGCAATGTTCAACGATGTTCTCACACCAATGGACATGCGAGTGCATCCTAAGGATGGCACAGTTGTGTTTGGCAGTGCTTTACATGGATGGAGCTTCACAATTTGGCAATTTGCCAAGATCTATGCAGCCAAGCTGGGCCTTAACGAGGAAAAGCTGCTTAATCGGATGTGGGGGGACTGCTTCTGGCATGCCAGAAAAAAAGTCTGGACCAATGTGCCTGAGCCAGAAGGCTGCACTGAGCCTTTGCAGCGAGTTTTCTGTGACAATGACATGGAGCAGCGCAAGAAGATGATGACCTATTTCGGGATTGTGCTTACGGAGCACGACGAGGAGCTGAGTGGTGATGTTTTACTGACGCGAACGATGCAAGTGTGGCTCAACTCCATGGACAGCCTCTTGGGCATGGTAGTCACGAAGCTGCCATCACCCCAAGCTGCCGAGAAGTATCGGGTGCAGAATTTCGGGGAGGAGAGCATCAGTATCTGTGGCCCTGGATGTCCGTTGATGGTGCGTGTTTCTGACACGGGCAGCAGCTACGCCTGGTGACTGCAGCGGTTCTATTTGCTGGCATTTTACCCAGTTACCACCTTGTGCACTGAAAGGTTCTGAAGGTTGTGACGTTGCGGGCGCTCTAGAAGTTTGAACAATGGTCATTGATTTCCTTTGCAACGTGGTTGTGTACGGTATGTGCATTTGCTTGTGGTGATCTTTTTGGAGGAGTTCAATCAAATAGCTGGCAATTTGCGATGTACATTATTCAATACTTTGTTAAGAATGGGTTCAGATGAGCGCAGATCAATTTTGAGGCGCAGATTGTTTCGACATGGTAGATCAGGGACTCCAACTTCAAGTCCTGAAGAAGCGGACTTTTCAGATGAAGAACCAATCGATGATCATGCCGCTGAACAAATGATGCTGCAAGCAGTTCGTCTTGCAAACCCTGACATGGATGATGCAGCTCTCATAGAGAGCATCTGACTGCAGGCCGGGGTGTGGCTACGACAGGGTCGATATCGACCACGTCCTAGAACTCCAAAGAATGATCAATGCAATACGGTTTGAGCAACCTGCCGCGGAAGAATGATCAGCCCACAAAACTTTTAGGAATGTGAGCTTTCTGGCAGGAACATGGGCAGAATCATTCCGAACACTCCTTCATAGCCAGTTGGTCAAGCGGGAGTCATGTGAACATGGATCGAGACCCGCAGGCCTTGGGCGCAAGCAAAAAGCAACAGCTTAGGTTGTGCGCACTCTTGTCAATATATAGATGTGTATATCTAGATGTGTATATAGATGTGTATCATGTGCAAGGTCGAAGGCAAAAGGAGAGAGTTTAGCAATGTTTAACCATACGCCGGCAGGTTGGCAAAACGTTGGTTCTCAACTCAGCTGCTTCGTACAGGAAACAACTTTACATATGGTCACCTGTGGAGCTGCAGGAATTGCAGCCCATTTCCATCCTTTTCCTCTCTGCAGCAGCGCTTTTGATCTCTAGATTCCTCAATTGATAGTTAGAACAGGTTCGAAATTTCATGATATATACATATATAGATAGTTATAAGTTATAAGTTGTATGAGTATACAGTATCAGGCATCGGAGACATTTGTAGGTAGCAAGAGGTAGAGTGGACCCAGTGGACCAGACGAAACACAAAGATGTTTCTAGAATCCCTTATATAAATCAATCAAACATTTTTTGCCCATTCGAGGTCCAGACCAACTCTCCTGTTCGCATCCCAGTAACAGAACTGTTTCAACTGTGGTTTGTCCCATTCCAGATCCAGGTTTCCTTCAAAAGGAATGTTGTCAAACCAATTTTGAATCTCCAGATGTCCCTTCTCACATGGGGTTACAGGGAAAGATGTCCCTGGATTCAAAGTGGGCCGGCACCAGAAAGTCTCCAGGGAAGTAGTGCATGTCCCGAGGTCCAGTCTGTTCGGCAGAATTGACAATCAAGTTTGAAGCCAAACGGCCGACAACCCGGACATACTCGGTGTGGGGGAGTCGCGCTTGTCATTTGACGTAAGTTGTAGCAGTTTGTGTGGTGTGGTTTATAACACATCCAAACTGCGCAGTCTGACGGACCTGCATATGCAAATGAGCGTTTCCTCAAAATCACTTCAGTCTGAAACGTAGATGGTTTTAATTAATGTTAGATTTTAAAGGGAAAGGAACTGAAACCAATGTGAGGAAGGGTGCCCTCACATCCTGCAAGTTGGTCACTCTCACCAAGAAGGGTAGTCTACAATCACAAGATAACAAGACAACAAACGAGCAACTTCTGAGGTTGGAAGGCCAATGGATGGCAAACGGCCAGCCAATGGCAGATGCACCGGCTGGTATTTCTCATGAGATTTTGGAGAGACTTGGAGAATGAAGCGAACTCAAACTTTTTCTTTGTGCTATGACATGGCTTTTGTTTCCAGTCTTGTTTGGCGAAGAGAGACTCTTGATAGTGCGAACTTGACTTTGGACCTGGGGCTGCTGCGGTCCCTTCCTGTCATGCTTTGGAGTTGGGGGCCAGCACACTGGATACAGATAGAAAACATGATAGTGAAGAGTGAAGAGAAACGAGGAGACACGAGATTAAGAGGGAGGGCTACGAGCTCTAGCATCCCAACCAAGATGCACCTCCGTATAGCAGCTGAAAAGGGGTCACTTCATGGTGTAGTTCCTTCAAGCTGACTCCCACTGCTCAGGAAGGGTCATAGTCCCTTCTGTCCATGGCGAAGCGTGGAGGTGAAGAATGATCCTCAGTGGTACTCCGATAAAGAGCTGGCTGCTGATGTTGAGACGCGAAGTGCTGGTCTGTTAGCTATGAAGCACCTCCCAGTCGTGCTTGAAGGTGGGCAGGAGGCAGCCAACCCTGCAGATGCGCTTGCTTCAGCCGGTTGGGAGGCAGTTGGCACTGTAGATGGAAGAGATTTCTTCCGATGTTCCATCTGCCTCCGAACGCACATCGTGCAGTCCTTTGCCCATCGGGAAACAGAAGCTAAGGAGCTTCATTAGTGTGCTAATCGCTACACATAATTGTGTTCCCCAAAACTTGTGTTCTGCAGTTGCCAATGGAGCCGAATCACATTTCTTTAATTCATTTTGCAGTTGTATACAATTATTGTAGGCATTCTTTGCACTATCAAGTTCTGCTGTGCACCGGGACTTAGGACCCTATCAACCCACAGCCAAACCTGAGCCTCTGAAGGAGCCTGAAGAGATTTCCGATGGGGGAAGCTCGGCTAGGAAGAAGCGGCGAACATGTCAACCTGTGGCGGGTCTTTGGACCCCACAGATTCGAGTCATATCCCAACCTGAATCCGAGCAAGCCGAGCAAGCCGAGCAAGAAGAACGCATGACGTGGTTTGATCCTCATGCGTTCCATCATTACTACTGCCCTTTGTTCTGCCATCCAGAGGCGCCAAGCTGAGAGAATTTTCTAAGATCAGCCAATTTTCGAAGAACAAACATTGTGGGACATTGTGGTTAGATATGATTATTGGCTTTCTTGAACATTTTAAATATCTTAAAAACAAGTAACAAAATGTGACAACGTGGTCTCCCTGAGAGGAAGAATTGGGCATCGCAGCCGCTCGCATGTTGAAAGCGCGGTCGACTGATGGATCTGATGGCCCAAGCCCTGGGCCAGCGACAGCGGCTGAGAAGGCAGAGAGCCTGGTGAGGGACTTGCATGTCATCTTACCCGAGCGCAAAGACTAGTCTGACTAGTCAGGTCACCCTAGTCGTAGCAATAGAAACTCTGGATGAAGAGCTGTAGAATATACGATATCCTCTTAGCCATGCGTCAAAAAAACGCCACACATGGAAGGCACTTTAGTTACAGTTGTCAATTTGATCTCAACTTCTCCAGAGTTCTAGTTGGTCTGGCCAAAATGTGTGAAACTGCCAGAGTTCCCTGCAATAGGTCAGGTTTTCAGAGGGGCCTCAAAAATTGCTTGAAGGAAGAGGACTGCTGAAAGATTGTTCCGTTCAGGTCCCTTCAGGCTTTTGTAGAATCTGCTTTTCGTAGCGCAAAAGGTAGATTTCAAGGTCTTGAGCTGTTCAATACTTGGATTCCCTGTTTTCATCAGCACTGGGCTCAAGCATCTCTAGAAGCATAGATTGTGTTTTCTTTGTTGGGCCAGTCGGATGAACTCAGCTCCATTTCATGGGAAACCATGACTGCGTTGAAGCCTTCAGAACTCTTCCCACAAGAATGCGTGCTCTCAACAGAAACAGTCGAGGCGAACTTGGGCACCGAGTCTGAGTGTGATAGTTGCTGAAAGACCACGTAGCTCCAAACAGCTGAATTCTTTTGGTGATCAACTCATGTAGAGCACCAGTTTATCCCAAGCTTGTGTGGTTGTAACTCGGTTGTAACGGTTGTAGTTGTACTTCTCATTTTGTGCAGGTCTACCGTGGACTCTGGTTCAGAACCTTCAGCAGCTCAGCCACAGTGAGAAGCACTGGGTCCAAACTGTCTATAGCAGCGTCATATCATCATTATTTTGAAGCCTTCCCGAAGAAAGCATGAGTCAGTGGTCAAATCGAGATGTGAATCATTCAGTGCTCAAATGGAGATGTGAAAAGACAATAGAAGAAACCGCAGAACCAAAGCACCAGAGCGTTAAACAGCAGGAAACTTGTCATATCTTGTGATGCCGTTCTCACTTTGTGATCTTTGTGACTTGTGAGGCAAGAGTTCCAGCTCCATCACGGTGTCTATGAAGCGATATCTTCACGAAGAGCCTGAGCCAGCCGAGTCGTCCGCACCTCCGAGGTGCGGGGGTCATTCTGTGGCAGTGTCGACAGTGTCGACAGTGTCGACTTGGACAATATGGGGAACCCGGTAGGCCCGGTATGAATTCAATATGTCGATGAAGTCGATGTCATTTCTATGTTGATATGTCGCAGGTTGCCATATGCCCATATGCCATGAAATCATATGAAATCAAGGTCATGTGAAGTCTTTGCTGGTGTCCAAGAATTTGTGACGTAAGGTTCTGGGGGTAGACTGTACACTTCAGCTTACAGAAACACTAAAAGTCTAAAGCTTTCAGCAAGAAGCGTTGTAATATATCATGAGAAGTGCCGAGGCAGCATCCGCCGATCAGCCAAACATGAAGCCCTGAAACAAAAGACTTGAACACAGCACGCTTGTCGTAGGTCATGATTCTAGGATTGATACGTTGAATTTCGGTATTTTTTAAAGGGTTAGTTATTTTGTGTTGCTGTACTTGTTGCTTTGTTTGCCCGGGTGTGTTGCAGTCTTTGCCATTGTGTGTTGGCGTGTGCACGTGCTATATCTGTCCAGTCCATCTCTTGTCAAAGTTGCCAGGCTGCTACACAGAAGTATTCTGCAATTCTTCGAAGTTACAAAGGACTGGACTGCTACGGTGCAAGAACTCTGCATTTTCGTGAAACATGTGAGCAAGATAATTTTGTCAATTGATATTGACTGCTCATCAGCCAGACAAAAAAACCATGTCCTGAAGGCTCCTCGAGTCATCGTGTCGGAATTCTGCAGCTTGGCCAATGCACTGATGCCACCTCAGTCATCCGGGGGGTTCTAAATCCAGAAATTGGAGCAAGAGTATCAATCTCAAACGAGGAATTGGCCTCAAAGGAGTAATTGGCTTGCAGGTTGACTTGGAGCTTCTGAGGTGTGAGGTAGGTGTGTGTGTGTGTGAGCCCCCTGTTTCCAAGTCTCCGTCTGGCAAAATCCTGCACTTGAGGTAGTGGTGGAAGCTTGTTTGAGGTTTTGCAGAACGAGGCACTCCCACTACCATGGCTCCAACGAGCACCTTGGCTGTGTGGGTTATGCGCGCTTCTGCTTTTGCTGATGTGATGAAACTCAGCTTCCAGGAAGCTTCCGGCTTCCAAGTCGTTGCTTACTGAAGACAGCTTGCTTCAGCATCAAACACGACTGCAAATTCTGATGAAATACGAAATACATTTTTCACTTGCTATTTTTGAAAGTTACAGTAAAAGGTTCCAGCTGCCTGCATGTTAGACCATCCTGCCCTTTTCTTCGGCTGGATCACATCCGAGATCAAAATCTTGAGAGATGTTGCCAGTGCTGCAGAAATCGTTCATCAGAAGCAGTACGTCCTCAAGGACGAGCACAAGTGGGGATCTAGGTTAGGGATGTTCTGACAAAGTTCTGACAAAGTCAAGATTTACATGTGTAGACACTGTGGGTCCGCAGACTGCGTGAGGGTGACTAGTGGGTGGTTAGTGAGGGGGCAAATTCTGAAGGTTGCAGCCGAAACGATGTCAGATCTTGTAACTCCAAAGGACCCGTTGCACCAAAGTTGGGTTGGCCAGGAACTGACCAGCTATCATGTCTTCCTCAGCAAACCTCCTGGCCAAGACAACCTCGGAGCAAAGCTCGACATCAACTACTCAGGCTCGACAGGGTCGCATTGGGATGCAGCACTCACAGATTTTGCAACCTTCAGTTTTGTATCGCTGGACTGGCCCATGATCCCTTCACCCCGAGGCTCCCCCACAGGCAAGGCTTTCCTTGGACCAACTTAAATTGCAGGATGAACCAATGAAGGGATTTTGTTCATACCTCAATGACAGCTGGAGAGGATTTGGATGCTTGCAAGCTGACACTTCGCAGCTTGAACTATGGCGCTGGAGTGCTCCAGAGGTGGGCCTAGATTCTGCAACTCCCAGCTTTGATGCGACTCTTGGCGACATCTCCCACCGGAACCGGAACCTATGCGCTTTGCTGCCTGCTGACATGACCAAGTCTTCAATGAACGAGGCGAAAGCAAGTGAGTAGAAGACATATTACACAGATTTTGATATATTTCGTGCTGTAAGTGGCGACAAGTGGTGCTAAGGAGATCCGACATTTTCGCATTTGGAAGCTTTCTTCTGGAGGTGCTTTCAAGAAAGATCCCCTTCAGTGATATGGAGGAGATACTTTGAGGAAATGGGGAAAGGGCGCGGGGCTGTCCGGCTTCTGCTCTGGATGTTTGTCAACCCAGAAAGCCATACTTCGCGCATTTCTGAACCTCTGCTCATAAGGAATGAGGCCCGACAGTGCATCTTGATTGCAGCTGGAGAAAGGGCTCTCTTTTTGGAATTTAAAGGCCCCTGATGCCACCCTCTGTGAGCGCTGATGCTCTAGGCGTTGCCAATGGACAGAGATCTCTTATAGACGCTGAGGACTGCCAACTCAGTGTTTTGTTTGTCTCCAGTTCAACCAACAGGTATTTTGCCTACTTGTGGCGTGGAAGTTTACTAGGAAGAATGACCCTGCTGTATTCTACATGTTTGGCATTTCACCATATTTCACCCTGCTCATACTCGTGGCATGCGAGGAAGGCTGCCCTCCACGCCTTCTGAAGCTGATGCACGACTGTTGGGCTGAGGCACCAGCTCGACCGAAGCTCAGCAAGAGGATGCGGTGTTGGCCATGTTTGGTTTGGGCCAGGCTTCTGGGTCTTCTGACGTGGCACATTTGATGGTGCTGGATATTTGCTCAAGATATGTATCGTATTGTCTACTCTTGCAAAACAACGCAAATGTGCAAGAGTGAGCTTGTGTTGATCGCCGAAAAGCAATCTGGAGTAAACTCTTTGAACGTGTGCAAGAGTGAAACTGAACATTTCCCCATCTTCCTATCCAAAAGACGCAAAACAGTTATGAAGTCATGTCAGGAAGCATCCAAAAAGCTATTCATATATTGGTCATTACTGGTGGAAGACTGAGGACAGCAGCAGCGGTCCACGCAGTATGTACGCAACTACTGGAGACCCTTTGATGTCTAAAGTTTGTGGTCATTGTGGTCGCTGCGTGAGGGGGGAACTCCGATGTCGAGGTGCCATTCGATGTGACTTGCCAAGCAGCATGCTTCCCAGATTCGACTTCACTTGGATACCTGGACAACTGCACAACTGGAAGCTGCGCCACTGCATTTCTCCCATTTGGAGAATTTGCACAAGTATCGAGCCATTGCCGTGGAAATGGAGCGCTCTCAGCCCCGCAGACCTCAACAAGTGCCGAGCGCAAACTGGATTGTATAGAGTCCGCATTGCTGCAGAGTCTTAATGGTTGGTGCCAAAGAAAGCCATGATGAAATGACCCATATTTGTCTTGACCTTCAGATATGACTATGATATGACTATGTCAAATGCCTTGGAAGAGCGCAAAAAAAGAAAGAGAGATTTGCTAGAGGAGACTCTCACAGTGTAGTTAGAAGAGGTCCAGCTGCATGCTCTGCACCCCCATCGATCTAGAAGTGTAATGGCTGCAGAGTGTGCCTGAGAGTTGTGGCCATCTGTTCGTGCTTTGCACTCAGTTTGGCCAAAGGAAATGCACCAACCAGTGACACACACACACGACTTCGTAACATTGAGTATTCTTGACCTTTTCGACAGACATCTAGCCTCGTGACTAGCCATTGTCAAGGGCTATTCTTAGATCATGTTCTTTTGATATTTTTTGACAGTTTTCATGGCATGGGCTTGCATGGGCTATATTTTGTTGGCCCCAAATCAGGTATGCAGCAAGTTGAGCTCATAAAGGATTGCAGGTTTCTTTCAACATGGGAAAAGCAGCATAGAGAACAAATTCGACCTTTGGAGAGCAGCCGTGTCAGCGGTGCCAGCGGTGCAGAGCGGTGCAGAGCGGTGCTGTGGATGGTTCCTGATGGATTTCCCATGGAGCAGTTTCGCCCATGGAATCCTTCCAGCTGCGCCAGATGCACGGCCACTGCGCCCATACCTCACAAAGGATGGAGGCGGCGTCTTAGGGTTGCCTGCGCTGTTATGAATTATGAGTAAAGTATGACTTTGCAACAAAAATCTTTGCACTCTTTTGCACTTCAGCATCATTTGAATCATGAAGCATAGCATGAGTAGCACCCGAGTTCTGATTTTCGTTAATTTTCTTCCATCAACCGTGTGTGAGGTGCAGCGCCAAACTTCCCACTGGGCCGAAGTCACCCTTTTTCCTAGGTGACGGAGGGCACGGCCGATTGGAATGGCCTGGGCAAGTAGGTGTGGAAGAGACTTTTTGGATCAATTGATCAGTGCTTTGAATTCAGTACATTATCTATAAAGGACGCAGGCACAGGAACAGTGAACAACATCCTGAGCAAATCACAGGGCATGACACCTACAATCTAGAGGTGGGCGGTACGGGCTCCGAATCATTGCGTTGCTGAACTTTAGAAAGTAGAAAGCATTGTTTCCACATGTTTTGCCTTTTGTTTGTTCCTTGCTTCTACAAACAATTAGTTGACAAGTGCAGGCCACGGTGTGTTGATCGATTTTCCCAGGGCTAGTTGGATCTTCAGGCGGCCTGGTGCGTGGGCTGGCCCTTGGCTCCATTGGCTCCATCGGCTCGAGGCTTCAGAGGCTCTCGATGCAGAAAGCTTTAAAATCATCTTGTCAAATATTCTGGAATTATTCTGGTCAAACATGCTCGGATCTCATTCTTAAATTTCTTCAATTTAGCTGCAGTTGGAGATTGGAGACCAGTTGGAAAGACACTCACTTCCATTTCATGCTATCCAGTCGATGCTATCCCGTCCTATTCTTGTGTTGAGGGGTCTGGCTTAGTGATTTCGTTTTGAGCTGATTCTGATTGATTCTGTAATTCTGTGGAATTCGAAAATTCGAACAGACTCCCAGCTGTGTCAGGATTCGTGGGCTTCGATGCCGAGGCCAGGGCCGCGCACAGTGCCGTGATCAGAGTTGGAACTCCAAAACTCGACGGTTGAAACGAATGAAACGAATGAGATGATGAACAAAGTGACCGCTTGCAGCTTGTTTCTGAGTCTTGAAGATCTTGAAGTCTTGACTTTTGACCGGAACCTAGCTGTTCAAAGCACGAGCTCTTGAGGCTCAAGTCTCAAAACATGGCAGCTGTACTCTTGTTGAGAAGGGACAGACACCTGACAGAGGAGCTTGCAAACGTCTGAAAACAAATGATTTGATCCTCGCATTCTGATTCTCACCTGTGCAGGAAAAGATATGTGTACGACACTTTACCCTCGATGTTTCGACTTTATCTGGGGATCCCGCGAGATTAAATGTAGCAAGGCTGGGAGCATCGCTTAGATCTTCCACATCTCACAGCTGCTGAAGAGCCGATTCCCAAGGAGACTGCTCTTAAAACACACTGCTTCCTTGTCACTGTGGTCACTGTCATTTCCAAATCCCAGGAGGATGAAGATTTTGAATGATTTCGATGTGACACTTGCAGAAATCGCATCGCGTCCCCTTGCATCTCAACTTCCAAGGCTGAAGTTGAAGCAGGGTCTGCACGTGCAGCGTCAGACACGCGAGGTGCCAATCAGCTGCATTGGGCAGCAAATGACACAATGACACAATGCTGATACACAATTATACAATAATAATATTATACAGTAATTTATACACCATCATTCCGAATTTTTCCTGTTGTTTTCTTCATTAATGAAATAGTCAAACTTGGCATTCTGAACATGTTTGTCCACATGGATTCTGAAAACCTGTGAAGATAGATGCACGGAGCAGGTGAGGTTTGAGGCATTTGGGTCTTTCTGTTCCAGATATGCAAATGCCACAATTGGTCACTGCCTAGAGGGCCTAGACCCAGTCCCACAACACTCTCGGAATACCGTGGGCCATCGTCATCGTCATCATCTCATCCTTGCCAGGGTCCTCAAGGTCAAGGCCTAGTGGTCTTCGATGTTCATGCACCTGCAGCTCTAGTGTTGGAACGCAACCTGGCCTAAAAATACCTAGGGATACCTAGGGGACATCTAGGGACCCAGGGCGTTGGTGGAGTTGAGGGATGTACTCCTCCAGGTCTACACCTGGACGGTGGATCCTCTTCTCTCCATGAACGGATTTGTTTTGCCAGGCGGTGCAAATGATAGAATGCGGTGTTACAGGTTTCCAGTTGGAAGTACAACATGATTCAGCTGCACAGTGGGATGAGACATGAGACAGGATCAGACAATGGCAGGCAGTTGAGCAAACCAAATTGACTTTCGATCTTGCGATTTGAGGACTTGCGGACTTCGAAAACTACCCTGCCATGATTCCCGTGGTTCGGAAAGCAACAGTCCATTGCAGCCATGTGGCGGATGCTCCTCGGTAGCCAAGTTGTGAGCAGGAGTTTGCTTCACGAACAGGAGTGACAGGAGAGCACCCTGAAAAGTGCAATTTGGGTCAATTTAGCCAGGCTCATTGAATAACAGACGCAATTTCCCAATACGGCAGGATCAGATTCTTGTGATCTTGAAAACAATTGAATGACACAATAGTTTCATCATGTTGCATCCAGTGGAGTGTATTGCTGAGGATGGGACCTTGACGGCTCATTGCAGTTATCGCATTTCTCGCTTCTTTCTCTTTGTGGCAATCGTTCCTCGGCAGCGCTTTCACAAAAGGACATTGCACTATATATTTTCTTTCCGTGACTACGCGAAGGCGGGTGCTGGCTATGTGAAAGGCGTTGAGAATTTTAAAGATGTTTCACACATTCCTAATTCGTTTTTCCTCAGCCGATTACCTCTTGACTTTTTGTTCATATTTTTCGCAATTTCAAGGGCTAAGGTTCTGTGCACAGACTTCTGCAGTCTGCACGGTAAAAAAAAAGATGGAACTGGGAGGCCAAAGGTTTTTTTTCCCCTTTTTTGATAATTTTTGTCTTGGCCCTGAGGTTCACAATGTCAGTAGAGAAGAGGGTGTGGTTCGTTTCTTGGAATGCATAGTGACTTAGCCTAGCGATGCAGTGTACCAAGAACAACCCCAAAGGCCCCAAAGTCAGTACAAGTCCAGTACAAGCTAGTATGGTTCCACGCAGCTCGCATCTTCAAAGTGAACATTCCCGATTCCCGCCTTCGCATGCCTTCGCTGTGCTCATTTGGTGAAGGCTTTGATTTGGACCCTACAGTCTCGGCCATGATGCTCAAGGAAGTCACTGGATTTTGGTTCCTTGGTTTCACATGTTTCAAACAAAGCTATAAATGACTCAACTGTGTGGAGTTGTTTTCAATCTTCTGAGAATCAGATTGTAGTCTTTGCATTTTGAAAGTCCCTAAGGATTTTACAACCACACGGGCTGCAGAAATTTTGCACTGAGGTATGTTGAGGCTTTGGAAGCAGAATGCGTCAGCCGCGTCTGGCTGAGGGTGGATCTCTGCGCCGCATCCTGGCGTGTAGCAACTGTAATATGATAGCAAAGCGGATACGAATACTATCCATAAGTTAGTAATATGATATCACTGTAATATAATATCATTCTAATACTTAACTTTGTTGTAGACTCGTTGCCTCCAAGTTCCGAATTTCACGACAAGGCAAACAACGTAAAGACAATATGAAAGAATGCCGTTGCTAAAAAAAAACTCCACAGAATCAGCTGAGGCGAATTGGCTTCCTCACTGGCTGATTGACTATGCCTCAGAGAGAGCATTGACACGTGCCACAGCTTGGCTGAAACCCAATGTGGAAGAGCTATGGTACCTTGGATGTCATTGATGTCATAAGTGGATGCCTCGGACAGGAGTCATCCACGAGTCCACGAGGTACACTCAGGTACACCATGATTTGAGTCTGAGCCTAGAGCCATAGATTAGGGCACCCTTCATATCCCTTCATAGACAGCCATGTTCATGTTTGGAGTTTGCAGCCAGGAACTTCATGTTTGGCAGATGTCACAAGGTCACTGTGTCACTTCCTGCACCTACTCAGACCTACTCCATAGATTTTCAAAGTAGCAGGCAGACACAAAATTCGTAGAAGTCCCAAGGGATTTCATCCCCATGTGGTTTTTGAGCAGCCGCACATCAAGGTCCAAGAGCTGCGCGTCCACTGAGAGAGGTAGTTGATGCGGAGCTGGTTTCCTTTTGTTGCATCACTAGCCACTTTTGCAGTGATGGTATGACGTAAGTAATGATCATTGTGTCTATGAGGTTGAAGGGTACGGCCTTTGTAGTTAGACTCAGACCCAATTTTGAGGAGGTTTGAATGGTCCATGTTTGTCCAATCTACTTTTGACTGAATATTTGGTTAGTCCAAGACCATAAGGTTGAACCAATTTGGAATCTCGACTCTCTGGCACCATCATAAGCACTGCACCTATACTTGGAAGCTTTTAGAAGCTTGCATTCTATTTTGCATCTCTTTGTTGACATTTGATTTTCAAACTCATCCAAAGACGTGATGAGATTTGTCTCTCAGACGTAGAGCTCTGTGATCCTTCACTGTCGTCTTTGTTTTTTGCTAGGTTCTCTGAATTCCATGTCATTTACATGGAGTTTTCACCTTTTTCTTTTACCGGCAGTGATTCACAGCTGTTTCAAACTGTACAGTTGAGCAGGCTCTCCAGGCCAAAGGGCCCGGGTTGATAGTCAGCAGTTGCTTCAAAACGATGAGGTAATCCAACTTTTTGACTCTGCCTGACTCGGATGTGTTCTGATACCAGCCCTACTTTCTTGGAATGAAACGTCAAGAGGCGTGAAAAAGATGTATAGCCTGCATTAGCCTGCTACATGCTGTGAAATCCCAAGTGCCCATTCCTACTTCGCCGTTTCGACATCCTAAAATTTTTGGACTGCTGGCTGTGAGGTTCTGTTGCTAGTGCTGCGGGCTTTATCTCCCGGGCTCGAACAAATCATTGAGGCAACTAGGTGAGGATCAGTAAGCGTTGTGCATTTGGAGATCTCGGCCCAATTCTTCAGTATATTGAAACCGTTAAGAGCGGTGGTGCCGATGGTGCTCGCGGAAGGTGTCGGCCGCGGCCACCTTGAACAATGCTTCAGTTGAAGAATCTAAAGAGCGATGTGATCGATGTGGAAGATATCGATGCTGTTGATACCTCTGTGGCCACCTGGACTTGCTCGGTTTGCACCCTTTGCAACCAGCTGCTTGGCATCTGAGGGGTGTGAAGGCCAATTTGCACTGCACTTGTTGGATCTTGCTGGCTGGGGCTGGTGTTAGCATGGATGCCACACCAACACTGCGTCATGCTGCTCTTGGTGTGTTTGTTGCATGTCCTTGTGATGAGTTGAGGTCAAAGCAGGCTCTTTGCGAGGCTTGCGGAAATCCGAAGTCACAAGGTGACTCGAATGACTCCACGGCTGTGTTTGCAACCGAAGTTCAGTGGGCATGTGTCAGATGCACGTTGCCCAGCTGAGAACTTGGCTCCAGTCGAGGGTTTAGCCGCCTCAAGCTGTCCAGAGATACAAAGAGATATGCATCTACAACCATAGAGGATCATGTGAGCATCATGTGCACCGAACAGTTTTCGTGACCTCAGGTTCTTAAACACCTTCACAGCGAATGCGTGCGATGTTTGCCAAGAAAGGAGACCAATGGCGACGGTGACAGAGAAGAAGTGTTCGAATCAAACAAATGCAGCAAGGCTGATCATCAGATTTTCATAGATTTTCATTTTCTGTTTTACAACTCTGTACCGTTTGTACCAATCAATTTAACCCAACGTGATGAATGGGTCAAATTCATGTATCGCAGAAATGAGGCAGTTCAGACGCCCATAGGTGGTGTGTCCACAACTTTGGGCAGCAATGCTCCTACTACAGTTTCTGAGAAGGGAGCAACGTGTGATTCGATGTGCAAAACTACAAGAGGTGCGGGGCAACATTCGCAGATGCACATATATGCATTGTGACGGGAAGTGGTTCGGGTATTTTATTTGCTTGTGTCTGAGCAGCCAAGAATCCCTGGACACCTACCAGCGCAGGTTTACAGACCTGAGGGAAGCTCCTCATTGTTTCATCCATCCGCAGGTGTGCCGAATGATCTACAAGCGGCATTGCATAGACTGGTTGACTCAGGACTGGCTGCTACTTTGGGATCCTACGACCGTGCTTTATCTCTCCCCCCACCAAACTCAGTGCCTTTTATCCTTTAATACTGTTCCTTTCTTGTTTAAGTTGCTCCTTTCAGCTGAAAAGCCTTCAAAATGGCTTGTGAACACATGCATGGAGGAATACTTTCAGTTGAGGATGCGGATACATAATATATTAATAATTATTATGCATTAATAATAATATGCATTAATATGCTTTATATACTTATATATCTTTAATTAAAAGCATGCTTGACGTATCCGAACACAACGCTTGCTCCTTTGAAGCACTTGAGGACAGTAACACGAGGAAGTTAAAGCAGCGCACAAAATGCGGCGTTGAAAATGCAGTTCTTTTCTGTTTAGTGACGTTTAGTGCCACTGGCCACTGCGGCAGGTTCATTTCGTTCAGGCCAGCTGGAAGTGGTTCAGGCCCTGCTTGCAGGCGGGTTATTGGGCTTGGAAATTCGGATGTATTGGGCGAGAATCCAAAAATCCCTCCATCTCTGTGTGTCATGTGCGTGTGTGGACACCAGTGCTGAATGCAGACAAACAGAACTTCTGTTGTTGAATCCTAGAAGGCCAAAGAGACAGCTTGTGTTGAGCTTTCGGGCAGGAGAGGACGTCCTCTATGTTTTTCCTACTGGTGCTGGTAAATCCTTGTGCTACCAGCTACCAGCACTGCTTTCGAAAGGGAAGTCTCTTGGCTTTGGCACAAAGGTTTTGTCAGTACAGCACTTGTCACAAACAGAGGCACGGCAACAAGAACTGAACCAATCAATTGAAAAGATCTTGTTTCTCTATGTCTCTTTATCACTCACATGTCTCTATGGTGCTCTGTCTCTTTGTCAACCCCAAGGTTTGCTTTGGTAATCTCTCCTCTCATTGCCTTGATGGAGGACCAGGTTGGCTGGGGATGCTGGGGTGTTGAACTGCTCAGTGCATCGCCAAGACCTTTCGGGTTCGAGGTAGGCTGTTGCTGCCACAGGCACGTTCAATCATGCAGAAAACGAACCGGTATAGGACATGGCGACCAGCAAGTCGAGAGCCACCTGATGCCACCGGTTTATTTTTGCCCTCGTGGTCTGAAGTGACCGAATCTGCTAAGACATGTTTAGTCACTAGTCTAGTCATTACAAAGCCATCACCTTTGAAGCCAGCTGTTGGGCCTGGTCGACCTGTTCGGCCTGTTCGACCCAGATCCGAAGTCTTCGAAAGCGCGGCATTTCTGCCGTAGCGCTGCATTCAGAGCTTACAGCAGTCGAGCGAAAGGTGGCTTGGACCTCGACCGTGGCCGGCTCGAGCAGCGTGCCACATATCGCAGCATCAGAATCTACTGTATATATATATATGTATACCAGTAGTACCGCACAAGGCGGTGGCGGAAGTTTCAAAAATAGGAAACCTACAGGAAGGGTTGGTTGTTGTGACTCACGGATGGCAGAGCGAATCCACTGATGGACCGAAAGGTGGTTGGAGTTGTGCTTTTTGGAGTGGTTGCAATGGTTGCAGCGGTCACCTCACTCACAACTCCTGGATGTAGTGTGGTGTAGCGCAGTAGTTGTAGTTGTAGTTGTAGTTATAGTTGTAGTGGTGTTGATGTAGTTGATGTAGTTGAAGTTGTTGAAGTTGCAATGTTGTAGTTGTAGTCGTAGTTGTAGTCGTAGTTGTAGTGTAGTTGAAGTTGTAATTGTCTTAATTGTAGTAGCTGCAGTAGTGGTGTAGCGCAGTAGTTGTAGTTGTAGTTGTCGAAGGAAGTTTGGAAGTCAAACTTCCGACAATATGGACAGATGAAAAGCAGGGATGGGAAGAGTCAGAGAAGAGAAGAGAAGAAGAAAGAGAAAGAGTCAGAAGAAAGAAGATCCAGGTGCGCGAAAAGGTAGCGAAGTCGCGAAACACTATGTTTTTCCAATGAGTTGTGGCTCCGGAGGGTGGAAAAGTAGGCTCGCTAAAGCGGCGGGTGCGGAGCCAGCTGGCCAGATGAGAGATGAAAAATTGCAAGACGTTGTGGCGCGAAGCACATTTCGAAGTCAAAATGTACAAAACACCTCAGCGTCGGAGCACTTTTGCGCGAAACACATGTCGAAGTCAAAATGTTCAAAGCACCAGGGTTCGGACCACTTTTGGACGTTCAGATGTGCTTTCGCGTGGCAGGCGCAAGGGATTGTGCACCTTGTCAAAAGTGGGCAAAATGTGAGGGTTTTGTAGCATTTCCAAAAACGGTGGCAGGCGTGGTGCATTTGAAGAGGATCTGCAAAGATGATCAAAGATGCATTTTCCGTGGCAGGCGCAGTACAAGAGACATGTTCACCAGAGCTGTTAGGAGGTCCGGGCGCTGATTTCCTGAGAGGGGTTGCATTTTGGAGCATCAGATCTTCAGGTTTGCTGAGATGATTTTGCATGGCGGGTGCAGCACTCCGTATGACCTGGCATCACTTTTTCGTGGCAGGCGCAGTATTTTAGACAGGTGGAGTGGAAAAATCGCAAAGCGCATTGGTACGAGGCTGTCAGCTCTGCACTCAACTTTCCATTTTTGAAGGAAGTCTCGCAGAATTCTTTCGTTTTTGATGTTGTCAACTTCGAGAAATGAGGAAGTCTCGTGGAATGACAGGTATATCCATGCTCTTTAGTAGTCTGCTTGTTTTTGCCTTATTTCTCTCTTATGATCTTGTTTTTTTTGCTTGTGCTTGGAGGCGCTAGGCACAGAAACAAGGAGGGCCACAGGAGCCATAATATGAAATTTGCTACCAGGCGAGACCAGATGCGGGAGCAGTGAGCAGGTGTTTGAAAACTTTGGAAGCTCCAGTTTCATTTGACAGACCGTGGGCGGGGCGTCGTCGTTCTCACGTGTGAGTGTCATGTTGACTAAGTTCGCAGTGTTG